TCACAGTTATGGCGAAGGTACTCGGCGATGGCGCCAGCCTCACGATCGGTTCTTTTCAGGAAACGGCACGTCGGCCAATTAAGTTCGCTTGCGTGTGGGTGAAGCACGCTACCAACCAATACTCGGACGTGTTGAGCACCACGGATGGCAACTCCATGAAGGGCGCCATCGACCGCGCCCGGACCATTCTGTTCATGAGCGATGGTTCGAGGGCCAAGGCCCGCAATTTGTCAAAAAGACATGTTTCCTTTTTTTTGTTGCTGTTTTTTTCTTTCTCCTGCCCCACTCTCTCCGACCGCGCCGCTGACAGAATGCAAACATCTAGCTGCTCATGCCCGACAGCTCCGCTGACGGGAAGAAAGCACCTAGCTGTTTATACCCGACAGCTCCGCTGACGGAAAGCAAGCATCTAGCTGTTTATACCCGACAATTCCGATGACCGGAAAAAAGCACCTAGCTGTTTATACCCGGCAGCCCCGCTGACGGCAAGCAAGCATCTAGCTGTTTATACCCGACAACTCCGATGACAGGAGGCAAAACTGTTTCCCTTGGGCTTCTGGCTTAAACCGCGTTGGAGTGGCAAGTTGTTTTCGCTACAGGCTGTTCGCGGGCCTGCGCCAGTCGCAGGGCCAGCGTTTCCTCGGGGGTAGATGACTTCGCCCGAGCCTACCCCGCAACACCTATTGCATCGGGGTGTTAGCCGCCGGCCAGATTTGTTAGTCGCTTGAGCGCTGCCCCACAGGTCGTCGAGTGCATCGCCATGAACAACCCGCTCGCGCCCACGACTGTCGAGTGCAAGGTTTTGGTGGACTCCCTGAAGGCAGTGAGGGCTCGCCTGCGCGCCCCTGCTCCTTCGGCGAACGGCCGCGGGGCGAATGGCGACGAAGCCGGCGACGACCTCGACCTGGAGCTGGAGTCGATCGCGGCGATGGGCGAGCAGGACAGGAGTTGAATGTCGCGCCCCAGAAGAGCGGGCAGCCGACGCGAAGGCCCAGATGCACATGGACGCCGTCGCGACGTTTTCAAGCCAGGCAGAGTTCAAGGCGGAGGTGGTTAGACGAGTAACAGATGCGCACACTAAGTCGGACTGGGTTATCTTGTTGGACGCGTCGAACACAGCGCGTCGCGTGCAGACCTCGTACCTCGAGTTGATCAAGTCGTCCTTGTCGGAGAGGGCGACTGGCCGCATCATCTGCATAGTCAAGCCTTCAATGGCGAACGCAGCAGCCTGCTCCGAGCAGATGGCGAGGCTATGGCCGAGGGCGAGCGTGCACGACACCAAGGTGACCCAGGGCACCGAGCATGCCGACCGTTCCATGGGGGTCGCGCGGCGACGAGTACATTATCACCGTCGAGCTGCCGAACGCGAAGAATGGGGCGAACGCCCTCCCGCACATCCTCTTCGCCACGACGTCCCGCGGCAGCCCTTCGGATGCGATTGTGGTTTCCTGCGACGGCACGTGCGAGCACCTACAGAAGAACCCCCAGGCGCAGGGCCAACAGGGCGACGACGGCGCCCCCCCAGAGGACAGGGAGAACACCAACTTCGAGGCAATGCTGGAGGATATGATGCAGTCGGAGGACGGGGGCGGCTCGGGAAAGAAGATCTGGCGCCGGTCCTTCGCGCGCACGGTCGCGACGTGCAGCGCAGTGTTGCGGCAGATCGGTCGGGTCTCTACCTGCAAGACGTGCGTCGTAGTCTCGGGCACGGCTTCCCCGAATTCCATTCTCGCAACGCATGCTGCTTATGCCGAGATTCTGATGGGGAACGGCCAGCACATCTTCGCGCCCGTCGACCGCCCGTCGGCGCACCTCCGATGGCACGGGCAACAGGCCCTGTTGACTGGGCTTCGGGCGGCATGCGCTCCGGCTGCTACGGGCGCGCCCACGTCGGCCGGGTGTTTGTTGGGGAACTTGCAGTTGATCGTCGTGCCAGCTGCGTCCACCACCATCGACATTGCTGACGTTCCATTTGCTGAGTCGTCTCCTTTATCGGGCATTGACATCACGGTGGGCATCAGGACGCCGGCGCGCGCGGCCTTCGCCGTCGTTCTGAGTGGCGCGGGCCCCCAGACTTCGCATTTGCCGCTTCCGGGGCCCGAGTGGGGGCCCCGCGCGGGCCCGAGCGGGCCCTAAACGGCATTGGGCCCGCGAGGCTTCTCAGAGGCCCCCCCGTTCGTTCGCGCCTCGGCGCGAGCCTGAGCGATAGCGAAGGCGGCGCGTGATGCGAAGGAAACATGTCCTCCCGTTGCGGGGGAAGGAATCCATGGAGTACCAGCTCGTCGCTCGGCCCGATGGCGACCATATTCGAGTCTATGCCAATGCGAACTTGTCCGAGGGCACCGACGTGGGCAATGCCGCGCATATGCTGTTCTCGACCCGCGCGTCGCTGGAAGCTTTCTTGAAGTCTGCTGCTCGCCCCAGTTACCGCCGGTTTGCCGATCGCTCGTTCCAGATCGAGCCCGTGCTCCACGACGGCAGCGCCGCGGCGCTGCACGGCGCGTTCGTCGGGATCGCTGGCGAAATCATGTCGCCGAACGCCAGCCAGCGCCCCAACGTCGAGCGGTGCGTCTGTCCTGGCGCTGGCATGAACCCTGGCCTGGTGAAGCTCCGCGTGAAAACCAGGAACAGGCTCGGAGTCGGCAAGAACTCAGAGCTTCTCCTCGACTACGGCGGCGACTTCAACCTCGCGCTCCCCGTGTTGGCAGGGGGGCAGCAGAATCCATGAGGGGGCCCATGGATAGATTCCTCGCCAGCCCTCCGAGCGCCAAGAAGCCTCGCATCGATACCACGAAGCCCGACGACCCCATGGACGTGGACGGCCCCGCAGACCCGACCGCCCAGATGGAAGAGGGGGGAGGCAAGGGGGCGCCAGAGCCACCGCCTGCAGACGCCGCGGCCCTCGCAACCCTCGCGGGTGGCGAGAGCGCGCTAGGGGCGGCGGCCGCAACCTCCCCCTGGCCCGATCTGTCCAAGTTCGGCAACAACGCTGTCGCGAAGATGGTGTGGGAGAGCGGGCCTCGGGCGTACTGGCACGTCTCGTCCGATGCGTGCAGGCGTCTCTTCCTCGTTCGATCTGGGCCTCCTTTCACCGAGGCTGCGCAGACCATCTTGGAGCAGTTCGTGGGCGGTGCGTGAGGGAAGTGCGACGCCTCTGACGACGGCCTGAACTTACCCTTCAACTTGGCCTCGAACTCGCTCATCGTCTTCGACGGCGAGGTCATGGCCTTCGAGGCGGCGTGGAAGAGGGCATTGTGGGAGTTCTATAAGGTGTCCGGCGCCGTGGACGCCGCATCGATCGAGGCAAAGGTGACCCTGTCCACTTTGAACGCGTACCGCTTGAAACCGAAAGCAGGCAGCACGTTGATCGACATCCTTGCGCTTGTCAAGGACGGGGTCAATTTGAAGACCCGCGCCAAGCTCGTGCCAATGTGGCGAGTGAAGGACGGTCAGTTCTTACCTTTCGGGGTAGCGCTCATCAATGTCAGGAAGCTGGTCGTGCCGAAGGGTACGCAGAGTGAGTTGCCCACTTGAAGTGGCTTAGGCCCGCAGGGGGGCTCACCGCTGCAGTTTTGAGGGGCCCCAGCGTGGGCTATGGCGTCATGTGCGCTCGCGTGCGGATTCCCACATGCACATACATATGCACACGCACATGCGCATCACGACCGACACCTGGGCCCAGGTTCTAGGACAACAAGGACGTTGACCAGGCCAGGACAACAGTAACAACAACAAACGATCAATACCCAGGCCCAGGTTCTAGGACAACAAGGACGTAGACCAGGCCAGGACCTACGAACCGTTATCGCCCAAACGAATAATAAACCACAATAGTTACAAGCGTAGAACGTCGCGCACGCCCTAGGTTGGCGACCCTCGTAGCAGCGGTGGTTTTGAACCCCCAGTCCTTTTGATCCTTGCTCGAGGAGACGGTGCGCCGGCAGCGAGTCCGATGGAAACCATATCGTCTGATGCTGCAACTCCGCCCCCTTCTATCTGCTATCCCGTTTCCCTTGATCCTCCTCCGCGCTCTGCTGTTCTGCCCCCTGCCACCTCCTCCCCCCTTCCCCTCTCGCGGAAACCGTGGCCTCGCGGAAGCCGTGGCCACCCCGAAGCCGCGTGAAAAGGGGCACGCTTGCGTCGCAGCTCCGTATCTTGGGTCGGTTTTTCGATTTTGCGTTTGGGGCATTTCTTCCTGGCCCCCACTTCCTGGCCCCCAGCCGCGTCGAGGCGCCCCTAGCGGGCGGCCCAGGCGCGAAAAGGGAACAGCGAGTCCGAGCCCGGCGATGGACGCCGGCGGGGTCTTTCGGGAGGGGGGTCCAGAGTACTTTCGGGCAGGGCCGAGGAGGCGCGGGGGGACGGGGGAGGGGTGGTCGGAGGGGGAGGGGAACAGGGCCCGCTGAAAGCAACCGAGTTTGGTTGGCAGCATTCCAGCTCTCACCAGAAGAGGCGAAGACATGGCATAAGCGAATTCTGAAAATTGTCCAAGGCAGTCCTGCGGGTTCGTTTTGTATATGTTATTGTGCTCTCCATCCCAGCGCCGATTGGACTCAAGTATGCCGCGTGGCTGCTCGATGATAGATTTGTCATTTTCTCGTCGGCCCGCCATCGTTGGCAGCATTGTTATTCAAGTGGTCTGCGCCGTTCCACCGACCTTCAGAAGAAGTGAGACTTTGTGACGATCGTGGAAAACTTGTAGTGGCCTTCAGCCCCATCCACCACCATGCCTGGGCTGTGCGTCAGAAGCTTCTTGGACGCATCTGAGGGTCGCTTGAGATGCCTCTCAGTGGCTTCTTGGGAGGCTCTTTGGGGTATCTGGGGGGGCTTTGGGGGCCTCTTGAGTTTGGGGCCCTCTTGGCGGCCTCATGGGCCGTCTTGGGACCATCTTGAGGCCCCCATTGGGCCGTCTTGGCCTAAGGGTTCCTTCAAAACCAGATTGCTCTGTTGACGAACCGCTTAAACGTAAGACCCCGCATCGCCGACGCCAGCACCGACGCCAGCGCCGACGTCATCACCGACGCCATCACCGACAGCAGCGCCGACGCCAGCACCGACGCCAGCACCAACGCAAGCGCCGACGTTGGCGCCGACGATGGCACCGTCGTCAGCGCCGACGCCAGCACCGTCGCCAGCGCCGACGCCATCACCGACGCCAGCTCCGACGCAAGTACCGACGACGGTACCGACGTCAGCGCCGACGCCAACACCAACCCAAGCGCCGACGTCAACACCGACGATGGCACCGACGTCAGCGCCGACGCCAATACCGACGTCAACGCCGACGTCAGCGCCGACACTAGCACCAACCCAAGCGCCGACGCCAATACCGACGATGGCACCGACTTCAACGCCGACGCCAGCACCGACGCCAGCGCCGACACCAGCATCGACGCCAGCGCCGATGCCATCACCGACGCCAATGCCGACGTCAACGCTGACGCCAGCACCGACGCTGGCGCTGACGCCAGTACCGACGACAGCACCGACGCCAGCGCCGACATCAGCACCAACTAGAGCACCGACGCCAGCGCCGACGCCAACACCGAATACACAACTGACAGTACCGATAGCAACCCCGAAGTCTTCACCGTCACCAGCGCCGACTCCACAACCACTACTTCCATCAGGCCCAGTCTCTGGCATTGGTGACCCTCACCTCACCAACATGTACGGCGAGCGATATGACCTCTACCAGACTGGCGTACAAGTACTCTTGCAGATACCGCGTAAAAACTTTCTGGGGCCGCGGCGCACGCTGCTGCGCTTGGAGGCCGACGCCAGGCGCATCGGTTCGGTGTGCTCTGACGTGTATTTCCAGGTGGTCACAATATCTGGATCGTGGACGAATCGGAGTGGCGGAATTCGGCTCTTCGCGAAGGAATCGCAAGGCATACCTAATCATATGAAGTGGAGGCGATTTGGCAAGATCGAGCTAAAGGTCGCTAACGGGAAAACGCCAGAGGGCATCGCATATCTCAACGTCTTCGCTAAAAACGTCAAGCGTGCGGGGTGCCCAGTCGGCGGCTTGCTCGGCGGTGACGACCACACTGAGGCCGCGACTCGGCCTTTGGAGTGCGCTCGCAGCCTGTCTTTGTAATGGTTTCACACGTTTGGCGGTCCGCCCAGCCGTCTCGCAGCGGCGTGCTGCCTAGAAGTCTCGCTCTGCCGTCTCGTAGAGTGTTGAAAAGATCATCCGCATCGTCTTCAGACGTGTTCAACATCGTCAGCAGCCGAAGCACCAATATCAGCAGCATGATCAGCGTCGGCGTCAGCTTCAGCATGAATATCTGTATACGTGTAGCAGTCGCTCTGCAGGTGATCAGGAGTTTATGAATACACTGCGCCCTTGTGACCCGCTCTCCCCATCCCGTCTTACCCCTTTCCCCCCTACCCCTCACCCCGCCCCTCCCTCCCCCCTTCTCCACCCCCCATTCCCCTCCTTTCCTCCCCATCCCCCCCTCGCCACCCCTTCCCTTTACAATTCAGCTGCATGCCGTCAGCCCCGCCATGGTGCCAGCCCACCATTATGAGTGGCGATTTTTCGAGGGGCTATGAGAGGCCGTCACGAGTGACACTTCGTGTCTCCAGGGTTGGGGGAGCCGTGATGATGATGTTGAACATGATATTCAATGAGTTGGATTACGATGATGATGGTGTTGTTGATGATGATGATGACGAAGATGGCGGTGGCGGTGGCGATGACGAGATTGACGATACTGACGATGGCGATGATGATGTTGATGATGATGCTGATGATGGTGATGGTGATGGCGATGCTGCTGGTGATGTCGATGGTGATGATCGCGATGCTGGTGGGAATTGTGATGATGTTGCTGATGGTGGAGATGATGGTGATGTTGAGGGTGGCGTTGTATTGTGGTGCTGCTGTTGATGTTGCTGATGATGGTGATGGTGATAGTGGTCGAGATGATGATGCTGATGATTGTGATGGTGATGATGATGGTTTTGCTTCTGGTGATGCTGATGGTGATGATGATGATACTGGTGGGAATGTTGTTGATGTTGCTGATGGTGGTAATGCTGGTGCTGTTGATGGTGGCGTTGTATTGTGGTGATGTTGTTGATGATGGTGATGGTGATAGTGGTCCAGATGATGATGATGATGATGATGGTGATGATGGTGATGATGATGCTGTTGACGATGATGATGATGATGATGTTGATGGCGATGAGGCTGATGCCAATGGTGATGATGAGGAGGACGAGGATGATGATGATGATGATAAAGAGGACAAGGCTGATGCTGTCGAGCATGATGAGGATGCCGACGATGACGATGATGATAATGTCGTTGCTGCTGCTGATGATTGTGAGAGTGATGATGATGAGGATGACGACGATGATGATGATCATGACGAGGATGACGATGATGATCATGATGATGATGAACCTGATGCTGCTGATGATGATGATGATGGTGGTGCTGCTGCTGACGATGATGGTGATGTTGATGGTTCTGATGATGATGATGGTGAATGATGATGGTGGTGGCGATGATATTGATGTTGCTGATGGTGGTGGTGATTGCGATTATGATTGATGATGATGATGATGATGATGATGATGTTGATGATGATGATGATGATGATGATGATGATGATGATGATGATGATGTTGATGATGATGATGATGATGATGGTGGTGGTGCTGATGATGATGCTGCTGGTGATGACGATGATGATCATGGTCATGATCATGATCATGATCATGGCGAGGAGGGGGCGCAGGAGGAGGAAGAGGAGGGGGAGGAAGAGGAATGCCAGTACATATGACGTCTTTCGTCCTCACTGTCTGTGAGCACGGAGAACAGGTGCATCTTGTATGCGAGGATACTCACAAGCATTCCTCACCCAACGTCCCTCCAGACCTTTGCCCGTTCCCCGAACTTTCGCAGCGGCTTGGTCCATGAAGCGTCATCTCGCTCGGGCCTGATGTATACACCGAGGTACTTGGCGTGGAATTGGAAGGGTAAGTCCGACCAAGTGCTGCCGTGCGCGTTCAGCATAGCCCTCACCGAGTCGACTGGGGAACATAATAGCGGAACGACCACCGACTTGCATTGGTGGAGGCGAAGGCTTGAGATGAGCTTGTACTCCTCAAAGATGGGTTCCAAGATTCCTCTGTCGGCGCTGAGCTTGGTGAGGGTCACGGCCAGTTCGTCAGCATCAGCTCGAATGGTGGCGGACGGGAGAAGACGGTGTAGATGCTTTAGTAGTAGATCCGCCGCCAAAGCGAAGAGAAGAGAAAGGGGGCACCCTTGTCGAATGCCGGCGGTCAGTTCGAGTCCCTCGAGCCTGTCTCCCCCCACCTGTATGCAGCAGAAATTCCGGTGGTAGAGTTTCCTTACATATCCGATGATATGCTTAGGGAGCAGTCCGCCCTTTTGGAAGTAGTCGAGGAGAAAGCTGTGGTCCACGCTTGGGAAGGCCGCTTTGAAATCGAAGAACACCGTGCTGCTCTCGTAACACCGCGCCGCCGCTAGGATCGTAGACTCCTCGATGACCAAGATGTTTGCGATCATGGAGCGGCCCCCTTCGAACCCCCTTTGCATCAAAGATATTATCTTATCGAGGCGGGTCCGATGCGAAGCCGGACTGTATTGGCCATCAGGCGATTGTCAGTGTTGGTTATGTTGAGCGGCCGAGTCCTTTCCGCCTCGTCTCCGTCCTTCCCCACCAGGGTTTTGGGTAAGAAAACCATCACAGTCTCGTTGAACTCCGGATACGAGTCGCCGATCGCCTCCACGTCCTCCGACTCCACGATCTCCCGGTACGCCTGGTGCAGCAAGTTGGCGGCAGGATACCCCAACGCCCGCCAGGCGCCGATGGGGATGCCATCGGGGCCAGGCGCTGAATTTTTCGACATGTCGATGTCGCGCTCGAAATCTCTGCGGGTGGGCTGCCAGCGGCGGCCGTCATCGCGAGCGATGTAGTCCGCGGCAGTGGCCTCGAGCTCCGCCCTGATCCACTCCTCCCGGAGTGGCGCGTTCGTTGGCTTGCGGAGCGCGTCCGCAACCTAGACAGGGCCACCGCGGACTGCGACTTCCTGGACTGGCGGGTGCGGTGGGGGAATCGGTTCCGCAGTTCGCCCCTCCACACAACTTGCAGCAGGCCCGCGACAAACTCCAGAGATCCCCGCCGGACGCCCGGGTCCTCGAGGGCATGGCGGAGCACGCGATCAGGGCCAGATGGCAGAGCATCTGCTACGACTGCCAACGTCCTCCGTCCGCCGACGACGCCTTCCAGCATGTGCGGCGGCACCTGGACAGGTTGCAGATACAGCCCCCCCCCCGGGCCGGCGAGTGGGGCGTGCAGTCCTGCTCCAGGGGCTCAAAAACTCCGTGCCCCCCCGCGTACAGGCAGCCACGCTCAGGATCCTGTGCAACGGGCTCGTTACTGGGCGCCGCTTCCATCAGCGGACGTGCTGCCGGTTCTGCCACTCGATGGAGGACAGCATCGAGAACTACTCGCATTGCCAGGTAATACAATACAGGAGTTCGCACAACGCTGACTGCGTCTCCAGGTCCGCGGTGCACCAGCGCTGGCCGTGTTCGTCGGCACGGGAGCCGCCATGCGCCCCCAGAGCCACGACATGCTCTGCAGGGCAGCGCTGTTGCACTACGCTGTCACGCACGCCGTAAATGCCAGCAGCCACAATTTGAGAGGTTCTACAACCAGCTTTTCGTTTACGCCTCCAACATCTTCCGCCACCACCTAGACGCCAACGGCCCCTGACGCCCTGCTGCAGGGTCTGCGGGAGGCCGCGCGCGGACACCCGCGGGCCTCGGAGCTATTGTCCTGACGCTGCATGTCCGCATGGCCCGCTATTGGAAACATGGTTTGCCCTCGGTTGGCGAGCCTTGCGCCGTTCAGCTGGCTCTTCTGCCTGTTGCCCCCCGTCCTGCATCCCCGTCCCCCGCTCTTCCGCACCTGCTCCGGCCACCGAGCTGCGGCTCTTAAACAGTGCCGGCTCCGTGAGTGGTCCACGGTGGACATGACGCCACAGGCTGGGCATTTTTAGCCGTGTGGGTGCGTCATACAAGCGGGCCTCGTCCCCTTTTCCTCCTCATCCTCCTCGTTGCCTCCTCTCTCTTTCCCTCCGCCTTTTCGGAGTCAAAGCTGTGTAGCCAATTTTCCGCGCTTACTCTGCAGCGCTCGTGTGGGTGCCCAGACTGACAGGCAGGCGGGCGTTGACCTCCGAGGCCAATACATCTGCACTGTTGCCCGTTCTCCCAGTCCTTGGGTGCGCGCGGCGGCTCGCCTATGGCAGGTTGGCTTGTGCGCCGCTCCTTGGTTTCTCGCCTCTCCTCCTCTCCTCTCCTCTCCTCTCCTCTCCTCTCCTCTCCTTCTCCTCCTCCTCCTCCTCCTCCTCCTGCTCCTCCTCCTCCTCCTCATCCTCCCCCTCGTCCTCCTCCTCCCCCTCTGTTTTACACGACTGACGTTGTCAACCCTAGGCAGTCTTCATAAGATCGTGTCACTTTAATTGAGCGTGCCGATCGCCGAAAAAGCGGTGACATTAGCCATTAGCCCGGCCGGCCACTCGAGCACGATCGTTTCTTGTTGTGGACGGGTATAGCCCCGATGAGGCGAAGCGGATTTGCAATGGGGGGTGGGGGCAAATCTTTCGCCCTCACTTTTTGAGGAGCTTTCATAGAACTCGTTCGGGCCGTCGTGGGGCAGTCTTGGCCTTTTGCGAGACAGTCTCGAGAGTCCCTTGGGTTCCTCTTGGGTCTTCTCGGGCCCTCTCAGCCATAACGGTGGGTGTCTTGGCGCCGTCGTGGGGCCGTCTTGAACCGTTGAAAAAAATGCCTTCCAAGAACGTCTTAGGTCCCACTGGAGGCTCCATTTGGCCGTTTTTGCACCGTTTGGGATGTTTATTGGGGCATTGTGGGCGGGGCCTCTTGGGTCATCTTGGGGCCCTCTGGGGGCCTCGTGGGCCGTCTTGGGGCCATCGTGAAAGATTCTCGGGCCGTTTGACCCGCAAAAACCAATATGGTTGCTTCGAGCCCTGTGGGAGGTCCTCTTGAGGCCCTTTTGGGCCCTGCTGCAGGCATCTGGGGCCGCCTTGGGGCCATCTTGGGCCGCCGTCGAGGCACCTTGGGCCATCTGAAAGAGCGATCTTTACTCTTACTTGCAATCCCCCCTGCTGTTCAAACCCGTGGGGGTAAACATCCCCCCCCTCTGAACGGGTGGTGGGGGGAGAGGAGCTCCCCCACCCCGTTCGAACGGGGGGGGAAGGGACAAAACTCAAGCAAAGCTTAAAGAACATTCAAACAAGCTCCAACAGAGCTCAACGGAAGCTCAAACAAATCTCAAACACATGTCAAACACAGCTCAAGCAAAACTCCACCCACGCTTGAACAAAACTCGAGCCCGCGCAGGCGGGCGCGGCAAGTGGGGCAAGTGAGGCAAGTGGGGCGCATTTCGAACGGTGGTGCATGACGTCGCCCTTTTTTGCACACGTGCCTGGCCCCCCCTGGTTGCCTACGGAGGGGCCTACGAGGCTGTCTTAGGCTGTCGGCGATGGCGATGGTGATGATGATGATGATGGTGGTGGTGATGATGATGATGATGATGATGATGATGATGATGATGATGATGATGATGATGGTCATGATCATGATCATGATGGTGGTGGTGGTGATGATGATGTGGAGGGGGAGCAGGAGGATGATGAGGGGGGAGGAGGATGAAATGAGGATGGTGATGCGGATGAGGACGATGAAGGCCATGACGATGATGATGATGATGATGATGATGATGATGATGATGATGATGATGATGATGATGATGATGATGGCGACAATGGGTACGACGAGGATGATAGTGGATGGTGATGATGGTACGGTTGATGATAATGGCGGTGATGGTGAAGACGATGGTGACGATGATGATGGCGATGGCGACTGCGATTACGTTAGCGATGGTGATGATGATGATTATGATGATGACGGTGGTGGTGCTGATGGTGATCATGGTGGTGATGATGCTGATGATGATGGCGAGGATGCTGATGATGACGCCAGGTTGCTGAGTGAAGGTGCCATTCAATGTCTTGCCCGCCCCACCCGCGTATCGGTGGGCGGGTACAGTTGTTATTTATAGGTGTATATACATATATATATATATATACACACACGTAAGGGTGTTGCCCCTGCCGCCAGTCCCCTCTTTCGGACAATGGGTAATGCAAGCACGACATCATGAGGCCTTGGCGCCGCCGGGAAGCAGCGTCGGGCCTTCACGCGGAGACGGTGAGCACAACACATATTGATATGTTGATGATCTTGTTGAATTCGGTGTTGTATTTCGAGCTTGCTCGCGTATGCTGTGCAAAAAAATGTTCTACGAAGAGGGGTGCCGCAGAATTTCGGACATGTGGCAAATTCCTTTTTGTTTTTGGGCTCTGACCCCGCCGATCTGCGTGAGGGGTGCCGCCGATCTTTTGTTTAAAAAATGTGGTGCATCCCTTGTGTTTTTGGGCCCTGGCCCCGCCGATCTGCGCGATGGGTGCCGCCGAATAGTTAACAATGTGGCAAATTCCCTTTTTTTTTTTGGACCCTGACCCCGCCGACCTGCGTGAGGGGTGCCGCCGATTTTTTCTAACGTGGCAAATCCCGTGTGTTTTTGGACCCTGACCCCGTCGATCTGCGTGAGGGGTGCCGCCAAATTTTTGCAATGTACATATCCCAATTGTTTTTGGATCTTGGCCCCGCCGATCTGCGTGAGGGGTGCCGCCATATTCCAGACGTGTGGCACATGTTTCGTGTCTTTGGGCCCTGACCCCGCCCATTTGCGCGAGGGGCGCCGCCGAATTTTAGGCAAATTGTCTGCGTTTTTGGACCATGGCCCCGCCGATGTGCGCGAGGGGCGCCGCCGAATTTCAAACATGTGGCAAATCCATTGTGTTTTTGGACCATGGCCCCGCTGATTTGCGTGAGGGGTGTCAATTTCGATCCCCCCATAATTTTTGAGAGCCCCCCGGTGGACGCTAACCAGGGTATTTTTCGGCCCCCCTCGCGCGGTTTATCAGCAAGGAACAGTAAGCAACATACAGTATGTTTGTAACAGTGGCAACTGGAAGCTCGAACTGGCGCACGGAACCGCAAACCCTAGCCCTACAGTTTGGTGGCCCCGCTAGGGGGCCGGCGGATATATGGATTGCCCCAACCGTTTCCCATTACGAAATGAAGGGTGCATTACATGTCCCGCCCGCCCACCCGACTGAACGCCCCATCAGTAAGTGGGTCGTGCATTTAATGATCCGCCCGCTCGAAGGGCGCCCCCGTTGCGACGCATTGTCCCACGATGTTGTCCCAAATCACAACCTCAACTGAGCGCGCACATCCCCACGCATTTTCACGGCGGGAAAAAGTTCATGAACTCGAGCGAGCCTGAGCATGAGGCTTCAAGGAGGTGAAGAGGAACAACCGATCAACATGGCCAAACATATTACATTTGTCATCAAAGGGCTGGCAACATATTTGCTATCAGCCGAAAGTTCCGTCCTCGACGATAGAGGTCTTGCCTGAAGGAGGAACGATGCTCCAGCCTTTCAAGGGTGATGAGCGTCCCGATGAAGGATCACGCAATTATGAGGGAAGTGTGGGAGCTCCTGAAGAATCCGACTCCATCGAATAAGACGAGGAGCCAGGCCTACGCTCTCGCAGTACAATTTGTTAGGATCTCTCGCATGCGGAAGAACCCCGTCCAAGCGCGTCGAGGTCCAATGGCAATGTATCTCTCTGCAGGGATGTGGAGGAAAAGCATATGATGACCACCTCCCGCTCGACGACCGCACAGGCGTTTCCGGGCACCCTTGCAGTGACGACGCGGCGCAGAGACGATATCATCTGAGGAGAATTTCCTTCGTAGATCCGCATCGATCGGAGATTACGAGGGCCAGGGGCCATGCGCCGGGGGGCGCGGGGTCCATGGCCCCGCGTCTCCCGCCCTGCTGGGCGATCTTCCGCAGCTCGCGGCAGAAATGCTTCCTTTGCGCGGCGGAGACGCGGCAATCCCATCAGACGGTTCTCTAGAACTCTAGAACGACACTTGGAGGATATCATGGGCGAGGACTTCGCGGGCGACGATGTTCGACCGACGAACGAGCAGAGACGGGGGCCAACCAGTCTTTCTGCGACTGTCACCTCGCCCCTCGGGAAGCGAAACAGGTCCGGCGATGTCCCGGGGTCGCGCC